GTGACGCTTTGACACTACCAGTTACGTAATCCGACGGCAATAAGGCTATCAGATTTCGGAGTTCATGCAATAAATTTTTTTATTTTCATTTCTTAGCTTTATGCACTTTTAGGAGTGTTCATAGCTCGGCCTGTGAATTTTTTTTTTTTTACCGAGTCCGAGTAGGAGTGGTTCAAGTATTTACTCAGTTGGTTGGTTCGGGTTTTGGGTAGAAGTAGATTCCCTGCAGTTCAATCCGTTACTCATTAGGCGCATTTTCAGGAAAATTATTAAATAGACTTTTTTATATTCGTTATTTTATTTGAAAATAATGAATATTTTTATAATTTAATATTTTTATAAATTATTTTTTTAAATAAAAAGTAGAATCAACATAGATAAAAAATAAATAAAAAATAATTTTATTTATAAACAAGGGACAAACGACATCACAATAGAATGAGGGCATGCCAATTAAGTTGACACTTACCCATCTATCAATTTTTTTTAAATTTTAAATATAATGTGTCTAATTTTTTTTCAAAGAAAGGTAGCACGGGCTATTCAGGTTGGGCTAGGCTAGGTGGGGCAGGCGAGTTCTTGGGCCAAGTTTTAATAGATTTTTTACGGGCAGATTATTGGGCCAAGTAATGGGTTTGAGATAGGTCCAAGTCTTCTCTTGAAGGATGTTGTGCTCGAACGGGCCAACTATTAAACTTATTATTTTTTCAAGGTTGAATAACGGAATTCGTGAATAATCTGACTCATGAACAACCCCATGCACTTTTTTTAAACGAGGAACAACAAAATTTGAATCTGCCACACTATTATACCTTGATATATTGGAATCAATTTTTTGTTTTTTTTTTGTTTTCTAAATTTGCACGACATTAGACTCATGTCATAAGTTTCTATAATGTTGGACTCATGTCATTTTGTATGTTTTATTTTAATATTATTTTCATATACATAAATATAATCCTGAATCCAAAATGTTGAAACTAAAATCTCTTTTGCTCTCAATTAAATCCATTGCATATATAAGTATATATTCCCATAAATTTATGACCTGCTTAACCTCTACCCTTATAAAATAAAACCAAAATTTATTTAATTCTATGATACTTATTGTGCTCGTCTACTATGTCAAAAAAAAATTAGAAATTTAAAAAAATCAAAACTAGTTTATGCTGTAAATAAATTAAACGAGTTTATCTATCAAAATCAAATTGTGTATGTTTGATACAATCCCCACCCGGCTCCTGGTAGTAAATCATTATTTTTATGGTTCAAGTTATAACTTTTGATTAAATATAAGGTCGATCTTAAATGAGCCACAGAAATTATAAATAAATTAAAAAAATTATAACTTGTATTTTAAGTCACTACAATATTTATAAATTGTAATGGTACAATACCAAAAATTTTTATTCGAGATGGTATCTCTTCCCAGAGCAATGTAATGGCACATCCTTATCCTAATAAACCCGCGACTTCACTTTCCAACCGTAGTTCCTCTCTCTCTCTCTCTCTCTCTCTCTCTCTCTCTCGTGCGCATTCACTGCCCAGGAAAAAAATGAACAGACACTCCCCCCCTCCTCCCTCTCTCTTCCCTACGCATTGATTACTGTGTAAAAAAAAAACAGACGCCCGCTTCTGTTCAACTTCCCCCTCTTCCTCCAAGCTTCTCTTTGCATCAATTCTTTACATATTGATTCTAATATGATAAAGTCCTTCTCCCTTTCTCTGCTATGGTATCCTGATCGTCCGTCATGTTTTTGAATTTTGTTTGGTATTTTGTATTTCATATTCATTGGTATTGTGTATTTCAGATTATTCAAAGGAATTGCAGACAACAATTCTTGAGTTATTTTTATTTTCCTAAAGCAGAAAGTTGCAGTTTTGTTCGCTAGACAGAAGCAGTCTGTATGTAGGTACTTAATAGCACTTTTTCTTTCTACACTTGGATTGCACAATTTTTTTATTCCATTATTATTGTTTGAATCTTAAAGACAAATTTAGGTCTATACACTGAAAATTTAGGTGATATAATGGGGAGGATTTGGATCCCAAAGGTTGGGGCTTTATCTTCCATCTCTTCCAACCCCCTTGATCAGTGGGATCCTAATTGGCAATGCTCCTTTATTTGATTTTCAGTGTGATGGCTTATTCATTACTTTATTGGGTTGAAATGTTTTGCAGGGTATGAAGCTCCGAACTTAAGGTATGACGAGTTTTTTTTCTTTTTCTTTTTGGTCATCTTTGATTGAGTGAAACTTGTCATGATTTTGTAATTGTTTAAGAATCTTCACTTGTCATGATTTTGCAATTGTGTAAGAATCCATTTTAAGAAACTAATAGCATAATCAATAGTGGCATAGTCCAATAAGAGCTCTAGGAATAAAAAAGAGCCAAGTAAGCTATTTGTTTACTTGTGCTATGTCCTAGCTTCAGTTCATCCACAATGACTCTTTTTTGTCCAATGTGTATACCAAATATACGTCTAAATATTTCCAAATGTATGATTGGTTACTATATTTTGAAACCATAATCTCAAGGTTTTTAGTATTTTCATTTGAAAACTACTACTATAATTGCACATGTATTTGATTAGTGGTTTATTTGAGGTTGACAATTCTTGATTCAAAAATCTTTCTTGCCTTTTCAGTTGGCACAAGTTGATAATTTAGCTATTGTCCAAGCAGCTGCGGATGAAATTCAAGTATAAGTTATAACGCTACGAATTTTTGTTTGTTTGGTTGTACTTCTAATTTTACGTGAACTACACTTTTTTTTAGTTGCTAAAAAAATACAAGATCCCACAAGAAACTTGAAAGTTGAATTTTTAATTAGAAATAAGTGAATTTAGATTTTTTTTTCGGAAGGTTAGTGAATTTAGATTTTAGTTATTGTAGTATTTTAATAATGTGATATATGTGTTTTGATGAGGGAATTGTTTATTGAAATGCCAATGAATACCAGGTACTTAAGATGAGAAAATCATATTCTTAAGTTGGCTATTATAAGCTATTACAAAGATTTTCTACGTAACTTTGCCTATAATAAGCTATTAATTTTTCGTTAGTTTGGATTACAACAAAAGACATTGAATTTTCTTTGGCTTAAAAATTATCATAGGCAAGAGTTGTTTTTTTATTCTATTATAAGTAATTATGTTAATTTAGTTTTGTTATGTCATGGAAGAAATGAAAGAATATTTGATGGCTTTGGTAACTAAAGTGTAACGACAATAGCCACCACCCGCATAACATATTCACAATAGTTGGGAAAAATGATAACAAACACAAGCGAGGAGTTCTCAAATGACCTAACTCTAGAAACATGTAGTAATTCTTCTATTGGTTTGTTGAAATTTTCTAAATCATCAATTTCTTGTTGAAAATTTGATTTTACTTCTTAGTTATTAACTATCTGTTTGTTTTTTGGTAAACACTAAACAATGCATACCACCTAACTCATTGTTGACGTCTGATAACAAGAGTTCAAAAACTTGTCTATGAGTAGACAAAGACACGATTAATCTGTATGATTTATGATAGTTCACAATTTTTCACATCAATGTAGAGTAATATTTGATACTCGTAATTTAGAGTGTTAACTCTAACCCGTTGATGTGAACCCAACATGAACGATTATAAAATTGACATAATTATTAAATACACAAAATGAATAGTTTAAACTAATACTTAATATTCAAAACATTTTTTATGGGTCTTAACAAAAATACGACACAATTGACACCCATATTCGTAATGATTCACGTACAACAGACGTGTACACCGACTAATATCTATAAAATGTAATGGCACAATACCAAAATTTTGTATTCGATATGGTATCTCTTTGCAGAGCAATATTACATAAATTTAAAAAATTTATTTGATAATCATAATTTTTAATTTTATTGTGAATCTGAAATCCACTAGTAGTTACAATTATCAAATACATATTTTAAATTTAAATAACATTTCCATTCCTCCCGGTGAATTAAGAAGAGTATATCCCACTAGCTCAGCAAGGACGAGCCTGCAAGCAAATAAATATGACAGAATTTGGTCGCATCGAATTTGACTGGAGTATCTTTATTTCCCAAGAATCAGGGCGGCTCAACAGTATTATAAAAAAACACTTGGTTTTTAAACCTCATTTTTAAAGAAGACTTTAAATTTTTAAATATTATAAATAATTAATTAAAAAAAATAAATTTATAAATATTTTAAGCCCTACAAAAAGACTTTATAAAACTGTAAAATTAAAAATTCTGAAAATTTATTTTTTCAAATAAAGAAAAAAAATTAATTGTAATACTAAAGCTACTAAAAAAATTTAGTTTTAACCCCTCAAAAAAATCAAGTTTAAACATATCATCATAATTTTTTAATCATTATTTCTCTCTCTTACCATTAAATTCAAATATGGTAATAAAAACTTGTATATAAAAATTTATTTAATATTTTTATATTTAAAAAAATTAAAATTTTAATTTATTATTAATATTAAAAATAAAAAAACCTAGTTTCCGTTTTAGACCCCAAAATGTCTCGAGCCACCCCGGCCAAGAATATCTATTTTCTCATACACACTAATTATATAATTAATCATAAATTATTGGAGAACATGAATTTATCATATCTCTAAATTTTATGAATTTTGATATAAATTTTTTAATTATTATAATGTTACAATTGAGTAATAATTTTTTTTCATCAATTTATTATTAATCGTTCTACTATTTTTACGATGGATCTCAAAATTATTACAAAAATTATAAATATTCCTTAAAATTATAAAAAAGAGGTACGATATGCAATTTTATATTTTTTTTTCTTTTTTGGGTACGCAGGCCTTCTCGTATTAGTTTCTTTCGTATGTATAAATGGTGAAACTCTCGGTTCATCACCTTCATGAACTTCTGTCTTCACTCTTCTCTCTTGAACTCACTTTAAGAAACAGCACAGAACCATAAACAAATGAATAACCATTTTCAAATGTTGCCAAAAATGGGGCAGTTTGAATCGGTTGAAACTTTGCCTCTACTGTACCCAATGTCCGATCAGTTTTTTTCTGATCCAATTATCGGAACTTATCTCTCTTTTCCTCCGGTTCCGACGAATCAGACCCAAAAACCGGTCAACCCACCTCGCTGTTGTCCAGTTTCAGGCAATGGTATATCGATTTTGGACGATAATAGACCGGAAAACCCACCTGTTCTCGAAGGACTTGCTGCTATTGTTGGTGAACATGTTCTATTTGGGTGTGGTAATGGTGAGAGAAATGGTTGTCACGGCAAGGAGAAAGACAATTTGGAGTTTATTCCAGCTATGCAGCGTGTTGGGTCAGAGAAATTTAAGCCGGTGGATGAGAGGAGAAGTGTGGGTGGTGTTTCAGTGCAGAAGAGCTACAGAGGTGTGAGGAAGAGGCCATGGGGGAGGTGGTCAGCGGAGATACGTGACCGTATTGGCCGGTGCCGTCACTGGCTCGGCACTTTTGACACCGCCGAAGAGGCCGCGCGTGCTTACGACGCGGCAGCGAGGAGGATGAGAGGGTCTAAAGCTCGGACAAACTTTGATATTCCTCCAATTTTGCCTCTCTCATCACTTACGACTTCTTCTTCTCCATGGGAGATGAAGAATTCTGGAAGAAGTAATAAGTCCAAGGAGAAGAAGAATAGTCCAAAGTGTTCAGTGGTAACTTGTGTCTCTCACCTCTTCAGTAATTCAACCTTTTCTACCCCTACTATCAGTGAAGCAAAGGGGGGTGTTAATGATATGTAGCTTGACTTGAAGTTGAGTGGAAGTTTGATTTATCAGTAAAGCAAAGGGGGGTGTTAATGATATGTAGCTTGACTTGAAGTTGAGTGGAAGTTTGATTTAAGGACAGAACTAGAGAATCAATGCGGGTTTCGTCTGCTATTATATGTTAGGTTTTACATTATATTTGCTTTTAAGCTTTAGGATCTTAAAAGTTTTGTTTCTATGAGACATTGGCTGTGCAATTACTGTGAGCAACTTCAAATCAGCTCTAAAAAATACTACATAAAATATATTTAAATATTATATTCTCTATTTTAATTAATTATTTTTATAAGTTTATTTCTACCACGCCTTCTATTTTAGTTAACTATTTTAACTAATTTTAATTAATTTTCAATAATATAGTTAAAAATAGAAAAAATAGAACAAAAACCCTTTTTGTTGTTCGTCTACAATCCAAACTGAGAAGAGAGGGAAAGTGAGGATGAATTTGGGGGTGGGAAGAGGGATTTAGAGAAGGCCGAGCTTGGATTTAGAGAGGGCCGACACCAACCAAAGCATTGAAGGGATTTTGCAGATTTGGGCACTAGGGTTTCGACTTAGATTTGGGCAGAGAGAGAGAGAGAGATGGAGATCCATACTTGGGTAAAAGATGATGAAAACCACCTCTGTGATGAATGCAAAAAAAGACAAATAGTGAGCGAAAGAAGATCACTACTTTTGACGAGTGAAAATTGGATTTAGTAAAATAGATAGTGGGATAAAGAGAGGGTTGGATATAAATTTTAGGATTGACTCTTCCAAATAGCTAAGAATGGCCTTTTTACCGAGTTGGTTGGATATGCCCTAACTAGGTTGGTGCATGCATGGAAGCTAGGGCTCTGTTTGGTTTGCGTTTCAAAAAAAAATATCCGAAAATAATTTTTGAGGAGAATTTATAAAGTGTTTTTGAAAATTTTTAGATTACAAAACCTGTTTAGTTATATATTTTTGAAAATAATTTTAAAAAATAAAAATTAAAAAATCTGTTTAGACAATAATCACAATTTTCATCCCTCTCTTTCTTTTCCTTCTCTCTGTCTCCACAACACACACACAAACGCATACACATAGGCATACACATAGGCACACACACACACACAAACACACACGTAGACACACAAAAAAAACACACACACACCGATCTATGAAGATTTGGAGTTGTTGAGAGAGAGAGAGAGATGGGGGGGCTGGGTAGTGAAGACGTTGAAGAAGAAAAAAAAAAGAAGAAGAAGACGCTGGGTAGTGAAAAGAGAGAGAGGAAAAAAAAAAGACGTTTTGCTACTAAGATAACTTGAAGGGCAGATCTTATTTACCTTGTTTAACTTGTCTTCATGTTTCTAAATTTTCAAAAAAAATTGTAAAAACAAGTTTTAGTTGTTTTTGAGCTCTAAATCTCGTTTCTTTCAAAAATTTTGAGAACAAAAATGTTAAACAAATAAATTTTAAATGTTTTAAAAATTTTGAAAAAAAAAAATTGTTTTATAGATGATAACCAAAACACGCCCCGGATTTTTTGTGTTTTGTATTTAGATTACAAGTCCAGGTCATGAGCAGCAGTGCCGTAGTAAAAACCTTATATATATAATCTACTCTCTCTCTCTCTCTCTCTCTCTCTCTCTCTCTCTCTCTCTGAATTGTAATGAAGTTGATATAGTACAGAATCGTGCTCTTCCATCCAAGGTATATGTGAATATTGAATCGTGTAGTGAAGTTCATTTGCTTCCCTTCCCAGCATTTCATGCAAATACATTACATTGGTCCTTCCTCGCCGCAGTGAGTTTCAGTATATGCCAGACCATATCAAGTACAAAACAGTGTAACGGCGGCAACTGGCAACTTTGCTCATAATTATGACGTCAAGGATTCTGAAAAGTCGCCCATGAAAGGCGGGTAAATTCAAGCACAGAGAGAGAGGGAGAGAGGGGGCTATAGAAGAGGAGAGAGATTACGTAGGTTGGTAGAGAATCTTTTACGAGTAGAGAGGCTGCAGACTGATTCGTACAGCATATTGATTGAGCAGTCAGCATAGGGTTGAGTAATACGCCATTGCTAAAACATTTCTTGCCTCATCGTCTTCATGTGTTGAAAACAAGTCGTTGTAACTCTTATTAAAGCTGCAGGCATCAGTGCTAATAGGTTTTTTTTTTTTTTTCAATAATGTTATCCACACTATCTTCTCATACCACTTCTGTGCACCAACTCAAATATATACCATAAGATTAAATATATATCATTAAATTAGTAAATTTCACAAAATTTATTAAATATTTAATAATTGTGATTGTGTTAAGGTGGTGTACAAAGCATTATTATTATTATTATTTTAACAAAAGAAGTTCTATGTTTTACTTTAGATCCATTACAATGAAAATACACTTTAGATATTTACAATCACTCACAAATTGTCGGTATCAATTAAATTCAAAAGATTCTAACTATGATCAAACCTCTTATGTTCAAGTCTACGATTGTCCAGGTCCAACCGACTCCGCTACCATGTGGTTAAGTAGTTATTCTTTAATATCGCTTTGAGTAAACAAAACCATTAATTCTCTTGAAGACAGTTGCTAGGTAATACTTTGTCTTTATAATAATATGTATACTACATCGTTTATTAAATTTTATTTAAATAAATGTGAATTATTATACCCATTAAAAAATTAATAACATTTACTGATCTAACTATTCATGTTAATTTAATAAAGAAGATGTAGTAAATAATTAACCGTAACATTGTCAAATTGTGTTGTGTAAAACTCGAATGTTGCTATTGAGCACAGTTTTTATGACTGATTGAGTGCATATTGTTGGTTTGAGTTCCGCTCGGGTTTTGTGTTGTATTGTTCGGTGTTAGATTATTCTGAAATTTTATTAGTTAAATGATTCAAATTTGGTTATATTTTCACTCTATTATTTTGTCCTAAGCCAAAAAATTAAATTTAAAAAAAAAAAACAAAGCATACAAGAGAAACAATATTACCCTTTTCCTTACTTTTAACAGAATCAATATTACTTATGGAATGAAGGAAACACTGCTGGATTGATAAAAGTAGATTTCATACGACCTCCAATGTCAGATTTCTCACAAACAAGAAAAACAGAACGAGCAGAATACCGGGGGGGGGGGGGGGGGGGGGGGGGGGGAGGAATGAGAAATCAGATTGGAAAAAACTCCTCTTCAAAGTACTGAACATTTGATTATCTTTTATCGTACTTGCATCCTATCTGTAAATATTTCTGCGAAAGAAATTGAAGGAATGAGGGTTGGCCCCAAAGAATTTCAGACAATGAAGCAACCTGCGACAAAGGAATGTGATTACTTCCCTGGGTTAAGATCTCTGCGCTACCTGCAGTACCTTCGTAAAGAAAAACTCAGATCCTAACTACCCTCAGTACCGTCATGAGTGAAAAACATACTTCCACATTCAGTTCGAGAAGTGCAGAAGGTGGTGATTGGTTACAATATTTCACAGTTGGCACTTATTTGAGTATAGGTGAAGGTGTGGCTCGCTATATCCACCCAACTTCGTTTGAAGAACAGATCATCAGCACATGCTTGGTCATTCTAGCTTACTCCATATGAATCCTCCTCAAACGCAAGATTTAGATCAGGTAGCTCAAATTTAGTCTCCATATCCCTGGCTTCCTTCTGCACTGGAGAAAAACTGTTTGGACGGGAGGGTTGCGGTAAAGCAAAAAGATCGTTGCTTGTGACAATTGGTGGCAAGATTGGAGGAACAGGGTCATAAGCTGCTGTTTCTTGCTGAAGTTGATCATAAATTGCTTCCTCACGTGCAACTGTAGGAACTCTTTCAGCTGCTGGCTGTGATTGCAAATCAAGCTGCAATGAAAGTAAGACAGTTAAATATTACTAAGTTTCAGTAACAATAATATTATTTTTCTTTATATATTTTTTTTTGAGGTTTCTTTTTAGTTTCTTGGCTGCCAGACATACAAGTAAAATAATTAACATAATGCACATTAGGAAACCAATTTCCCAAACTGGCATGTTGGACAAATCGTATTGAGGAACCTTCCATTCTAGAATTTGTTGGCTGCTAGGCGTAGGAATATAAAATTTGAAGACAATACATGTCAAAAGTTTTTCGCATGTTCAATCCTGCCAATCTGGATAAAACTAATTGATATTGAAAAATTCTAAGATACAGATCCTCAATTCAAGGTGAATTTGATGTCTGCATTCCATAGAACAAAGACTTGTAGAAGCAACAACATGCACCTTTCATGAAAGACAAAAAACAATAATTAAGTGATAACCAGAAGATTAACTACAAAAGCTATTCATATCATACCCACTTTCATTCCAATTGACTGTTACGTTCAATTTATAACTAAAACCAGGAGATTAACTACTAAAGCTATTCAAATCATACCCACTTTCATTCCATTTGACTGTTACGTTCAATTTATAACTAAAACCAGGAGATTGATGCGTGCAAGCTGTACAAGAAAACTCAAATTAAAAAAAAAAAAAATAGAAAACACAGAGAATAGAAGAAAAAACAACTGAGGGGAAAAAATATAGCTCTTTAAACCATTAACGTAACTCTTTTTAATTCATACTTTATACCAGTAGCCCTACTTTTAAGCACACTTCTTGAAAAGTATTCAAAAAAAAAAAAAAAAAAACTGTGTTCTAAACTATAAAATTTTGTTTTACAATAAGAGGCCGTTCATGCAAAGCGTAAGAACGTCAAAGTGATGACCTACACTTCCTAAAGAGAGGCAGCTGTGAGGGAGTCAATATAGGAGGACCACCTTAATGAAATGGTTGACAGGCTTTCCTTTGCAGCTAGTCTCCTAAAACATGTCTGCTGGTTCCAATAAGAGCATCTCTTTGACATGTCAAGTAAGCAGACAAAATGTCGTAGGTAATCTTGAACTTTTCAACCCCTAGTAGGTTTACATTGCCTATAAAGGATAAACTAACCATATGTACTATAGACCTTTTGCACTGCCGTGGTTATAAATTCCAGACTACTAAAAGGAACAAAGCGTCAGATTTGACAAACTTGGAAAAAATAATCTATTGAAACAACAGTTTCTAATTACTATAATTGGAACAAAATGATATTTATTCCATGATAAGTTGGGTTAAATGATACATGATACATCTGAGGAATTGCAGCATATGCGAACAAACTAAGGTGCTAGATGATGTTTTACTTCTCTTCAGGCTAATGCCTTACTACTTCAAGTTCCTAGTATAGGTAATTATGTCAGTGGTATACTCATATTGATGATGTACGATAAAGAAAAAGTTATTTACACGGTCATCTACAGTTAAATCGGATTAGCACATGCAATTCACCCAAGTGCTCCACTTGTTGGACATCATACTGAAAATAGAATTTATTGCATAATAAAGAATATACATAAATGATAGATCCTAATAAATTGACAAATTCGTCCTTTGATTACTCAACAACTAATTACATATTTAATAAAATGTGGACTCAATAAGGCAACACAGAAAACATAATAGACGAGAGAAAAGCCTGGTAATAATTTCACCTTCATTCTCTTCAAGCTCTCATTTGTGGCTCTCTGCTTTTCTAAAGTACTGCAAATGCATGCTAGTTCCTGCATGGAAATGAAGAATTTCAGTCATTTTGCATTACCAAAATTTAAATTTCTCAGTGAAGAAGCATCGATGAAAAATACCCTCGTCAAACGCCTTTTTTCCTTCAATTGCAAGACCTCCTCTTCTTTAAGTTCAGCTAAAGTCTGTCAGAGCAATATAATAAACTTAAATAAGAGGAATTACAACATCTAAAACAATATGAAGCAAACATTTCTAGTTTACCAAAAAAGTTTAAAAAAATAAAAGGCTAAGCCTAATCCATGATCTTGAAGTTTGTCTAAAACTTTGACATTTTTTAATTTCTAACCAGAATCGTGTACATAAGAAAGATAGTTTTTGTGTATAGATAGACAGTGGCATACGACAAGTGAAAGTTGCTAGCCAAAAGATTAGGCGGCAAGCTGAAAGCCACTAAGGATATTTTATGGCCTGCTTTAATAATGAAAGGCTGTTTGAGACTTTTCAGATCGATCTGATCAGGTACCAAAATTCAAGTGGATTGTCTCCTAAGAAGCAAAGCATTGTGTGCAAGTAACCGAGACACGCTCAACAAGATCATGAAACTAACAATCACCTTCTTCTTTCTTGACCTCTTGGATGTGGTTCTTTCACTTGTTCCCGTAATCTGCATATATGTTAAGACATTAGATATCATCAGTGAATCATTGCAATTTTATTAAGCAAATTCAGAGTGACAATAACTGAACAAGAAAGGCAAATCGCAGTATGACCCCCCGTCTCGCACACCTATCTGATTTTCCTTTTTAGTAATGAAATGATGTTCACGGCCAGGAGTCACAGTTGGGATGGAGCCAAAAGTACTATGAAAACTGCATATTTCAATAATTGAATATCTTGCTCCATGGCTTTGCTAATTGTCTCACACATTGGTCCTTTTAAAAATTGTAAAACATTAAACAATTCTTAGTTTCATTTATTCAGAATGGGGAAAGCCCATCTTACATAAGAATACCCAGAAAGCATGGAGAAGTATTCACAGAACCACAGACAAAAAAGAACTAGAAGCATACAAATGACCAAAACTATATTTTTTAACACTTCGTTTACTGTGTTGGTCGTATGCACATACATTCTATTTTTTAACAGTAAATCAAACTAGTCATATCCAGTGCATGGAGGTTCTATTTGTGTTAAATAACTTGAAACAGGATCAGCCCTCATCTGAGTGCTTTCAGACAACGAAAGGTCAACGAAATAAGATAATCATTAGTTTCCAATTGCACCCGGTAGTTCACTTTTAAATAAGGCAGAGTTTGAAATAGTGTGTGTGTGTGTGAATTGCATACAACTCATGCTCCCATTATAAAATATGAATTGAATGCTCAGGACCCCACCTTACCAAACAAGGGAAAAAAATTATAATTCTTCCACTTGAAATAAGTGTAATCAAAGCATTAGTTAAGAACGTTTTTGGTAAACATGTCAGCTACAATATGATAGTTTGGTGACAAAAAGGGTCCCCCACCCAAACTTCTCATCACGGGTTAATCCGGATCGCTTCGACCAGTGTATGTATATTGTGAGAGAAAGTTTGATCTTTCTTAAAATACAAAACCCGAAACCAATCCTCGATCGGTGATTCTCATCTCCTCCATTGTATCAGAAAAAAAAAAGCATATATTTCTACAGTTCGCACCATTTTGCAGCTAAAATGTTTGCCAAAATTCTACATTTGTGGTGCCACCAGATGAAAGAACGAGCACAACAACTTGTCAGGCATAAGAATAACAAACCCTAATCTAGCCCTTTAAACCTCCACAGAACTACAACAACGTAATTCTTCTCCCCCACTTTTGACTAAAATATACAAAAAATGGTTCAGAACAAGCTGTCACCATAATTCCACTATATATATGTTTGTGTTGAGCAGTTTAGTTTTAGTATCCTACGTCATCTTATCCAAACGGACAATTAGCTATTCACAGTTGTGCGGTGCCTCGGAAAGTTCGCTCATCTTTGTGCCTGAATGGCATAGCTGGTGAAGGTATAACGACAAGTAGTAGATAACGAAGCCGTTGGAAAATACCAAAATATGACGACCACATCAGAACATTTCCCATTCATTCCTAAACCACAAACAATGCTCCACCCAACTAATCGCGGACCTATTTGCCACTAACACAAGCCACCGATTAAGCTGGTACCCAGAAAACAGATAAGTCATTTGCTCAAAATGCCCCTATAAGGACTCATTTGACTTTGAAGACGGAGAAAATATTCAACCGAACATTAATTAATGCTACCAATTTAAGAATTGGTATGAATTAAATTAACAAATTTAGTAACAATAACATAAGATGATCTGAAATTCAACAAAAAAATACAATTAATTAATTCCACAATTAAGGGTATAATAGTAATTTCACAATTTATAATCAATTTAGTCCACGGAAAATTTAAAGGGAGTAAATTGTTAAAATTCAATTGAAAATTGATTGAAACAAGATCTACGGTTCAAATGGCATTTTATAATTAACCCACATACGTATTTTACCCGGTGGTGAGGACGACCACTTACCCATTTACCAAATCCAATGGCTAAAAGAAGTACCCACTCCGACAGAGACTTTGATAGTTTTTCCGTGTCACTTCAATATTTTATTGACAAAATTGATACATGGGTGAAGGGTGTTTTGGTCTTTTCATACTAAAAGTCATGACACGGGAGACGCTGGAGTGGAGGGGCGGAAAACTGGTGAGAAAAAAAAGGTGATTAGAGTCGTTCAATCTTTCTTCTGACCAAAGGCGTTGAAGGAAGGTCACTAGTTTTCTCTTTAAAAATATTATTTAAGGGTAAATTACACTAATCTTTCCTGACCTATTACATTTTTTCACCTTGTCCTTTTAACTATCATATTTTTTATATTATACCATAAACTAACACTATTATTTCACATTATCGCAATCATAAATATTTGTTATTATTTTTTTTTTGTAGGAAAATTGCTGACATGTCAAAGTAAAATAAAATATATATATATATATATATATATATAATTTGAGGGAATAAATCAAATAATTTTCTGTTAAATATGTAACAAACGTTAATAATTGAGATAATTTAAAATTAATCATATAATTGAGAGTGCAATTTGAAAATTTTAATAGTTAAAGGGACAAAATTAAAAAGGTGATAGTTCGGGTGATGAGTGTAGCTTACCCTTTAAGTAAAGTAAATATAAATGGAAGGGCATTCTGGTCAAAAAATAAAAAAAAGGAAATAACTAAGGCCGGTCGTGGACAATCAGAGATGAACTCCGACGGATCAGTGAAATGACAGAAATATGCTCGAAAAACTAGCAAGGACTATGCCATGCAAGGAAGGTATTTCTATCAATTTTGGAACTACCGCAACGGATTCGTTTGGTTGTCGTATTAAAATTAGATGAATTAGATAAAATAATACAATGCAGATGAATTAAATATAATATTAAAATAAAACATAATTTTATCTAGTGTTTGATAATACATAATATAAACGTTGGATAATAGTTATTTAATTCAATCAATTGTTTGATTAGAAAGAATTATTTCATCGTATTAATGTTGAATTAACAAAAATATTCTCAATCAATATTTGTTACATTGATGACAACTTAAATTTATCAGTTGGAGAGTTATAATAGTAAATGTGTAATTAATACGTTGGAGTTGGATTATAATATCACCTCTTTTCATTAGATTATAATACCACCTTTTTCGGTGATATTAAAAAATCTTCATAATACATATCTATAGCATAAAAAATATACGATAAATATACATTCTTAAAATTAAAACGATATTAAATATATTTACCAAATAAAATATTAAATCTAATTAAATAAAAAATAATACAATCTAATATTAATCGCCTAATAATACGTCTCTGAGTTCAACGGTGACAGGTGATGGAAGCATTTTGCAAGTTTCATCTGACTCGCACTGAACGCGTCGCAGCAAATATCGTACTTTTCGAGGGGTATTTTGGTCAGAAGGAGAAAGGCATCGAATGACACGATACTTGGATGAATCTACCGTCGGCGAACAAGGAGACACACAACCACAACTACCAACAACCAGCTGAGTCATACATCGCCGGCCACCGGAGAAGTGATGACGATGTCAATAAAACTAACAATACCGCTAAAGAAGAACAGAAGAAAGAGGGCACAAACTCTGACCTTAGATCTTGTTGTGTCTGAGCCAACTGAGCGTTTGGGAAGTGGACGGCTGGACTCTTCCAAACCACCATCGATGGCGCCACCGCTTCCGCTTCCGCTTCCACTTCCACCACCAGCGCCGCCGCTAAAAGAGGTGGCGCCGCTCCAGGAAAGCGGAGTGGTGGGGCTGGCCCTCGTGGTAGACTTAACCGTCATCGTCTTGGACCGAGGCTGGCGTACTGTCCACTCGAGCGGCAAAGCCGTCTTAGGCGGTGGCGTAGCCTGGTTCAGCGTCACCAGCAGCTCCACCACCATGGAGTCGTCCGTCATCGCAGCTTTCACCCACTCTTGGTCACTCATCATAACCTCGCTTTCGCGTCAGTTTCGACTATGGATGGAGTGTGAGAGACAGAGAGAAAGTGAGTTAACAGAGATGTGGAAAGGGAAAAGTGAAGAGAAGGAGGAGAGAGAAGGGTTGTGGTTGCAAAGACAATCTGAGAAGACAGAAATAAATAATGAGGAAGGGGGGTGTTGGCAATGGCATGACTCGGGGTTATATATATGTGCGGTGAAGATGCCAATCGATTGACAATAGGGTGCTTTGTATGTGGATGGATGGGCCGATTCTCTCTCTCCCTGTGGAGACTGTGTGTGTGTGGACCCACCATTTGAGACGTGGTACTGACCGCCTGCTTCTATCTTTTATTTCTTATTTCTAGGGTTGGCTTGTAAGGAGGTGTGTGGCTTATACGCCCTCTTTAAATGCGAGTGGGTGAGAATTGTTGATGTTGTCTGTTTGAGTTTGCTTTTTTTTGCATAAATAAATGATAGCGCATATCACACTTTAACCGGTTTTTTATTTTATTTTTTATTTTTATTGTTAACTAAAATCTAAATATCATATTTACTGCTTGGCTATTCATATTGTTTCGGGGTTGAATTGAAGGAAACGGCCACGAAAATGGACCACCAAACATCTAAAACATTGATGGATTTAGGATGGTTTTTATCATTAACATTTGCCTACCTACCATTCAAAGAAAAATCATTTTTATTTTGAGAAAAATAATATTTTTCTCCTAAGAATTATGTTAATAACGTATTATTCAAGAGAATAACAAGAATTTCGAGTTATTGAACAAATTAATTTGTCAATAAATTTGGAAGAAAATTGAATGAATGCATGATGAAGCTCCCACCATTACTATCTCACATAAATATTGATCACATGCTTCAAAATTATCTTGATGATAAATTCAACAAGTCTTGGTGAGGTTAACGATCGCGTACAAATTTAAATAAATTTTTTTCATTTCATATTATATATTTTTTGATATTATGGTCATTAATTCGGGTAATTTACACGTATTTTAATTTATTTTTTTATTAATCAAAAACAAGTCATCCATATTAAATTAAAAAATTTCTAGAGCATAACTCAAGTTTTATAGGCATGCAATTTAATATGTGTATAAATCTGGCTTTTTTTTTTAATAGTTATTTTCC